CCAGCGACAGGATACCACGATAATTTGCCGACTTTTATTGTAAATATTTTTCTTTTATAGCGCATCCCCCGATTATCTCAATTTCCACGCTGTTCTGCAGGCTGCACTTGTTAATTAGAGAAGACTGTTAGCTAGAAAAGGGGCCACCGATGCACACGGCAAAACTTTTCGAACGACTACACGAGCTCCGTACAAATCATAAGATTTATCGTTCACTTTCGGTCACGGTACATTTTTTCACGTCAGCAATGAAATATAATTGTTTGGAAATTTGCCACCTTAATAGCGATATGGCAGATTAAGAGTCATTTTAGCGACACGCGAAATAGGTGGAAAGTGCATTAGTTTAATTTTAATTTGGACTCGGTCGACGATGGAAACAATGTATAAAGTTTCTTGAAAATTATACCATTGCATTGTGCCGAGCTTCATTGCTTATTTTGCTTATTTTGCTTTATAAATTTTGTACGTTGAGCTTGCGCAACTATAAAATCTACCGCAATAGAGTCGACGCACAACGTAGAGCGTATCTAAATAGTAGATAAGCATTGTCTTGGAGCATGAAACGTGGTGTTTTCCAAGGTGATGTATTGGTATTGCTAGAGCACTGCGAGGTTGCACAGCTCCGTCTTCATATTTAAAAGGAAATGCGCAGCACGTGGAATACAATTTTCATCCATCACCTCTCACAGGGTGGCCTTCCTCTTTCAACACCACATTGCAACCAAGCAAACTACAGACGGAGCCGTATCGCCCTTTCCGAGCTCCGTCGAAGAAACAAAAAAAAAACAAAAAACAAAAAAAACATAAACAAAAACAAAAAAACAAAAAAACGAAAACCAGAAAAAAAGAGGAAAAAAAATCGACGCCGCGACGAAAGGACGAGTTGCGCATTCGAACGCATTCGAATGATCGGAAATAAAGGCAAAGTCGCGTAGATACGATAAGAGTGGCAGTAGGGTGCGAGTAAAAAAGCGGCGGTGGCGGCATTGATCAGGAAGGGTGGGATGGTGAGGCGGTGCGGGGTCGCGAGAAACGAAGCCTTGGTCTCATTTTTAAAGAGTCGTGAAGAGAGAGAGAGAAAGAGAGAACGGAAAAGAGTCACGTAAAAAATAAGGGTATTGGGTTGGTGGGAAAGCTTCTTCGTCGCTTCCGATTCCTGTGTCAGGCCAGTTCAGACTCCCAATTCCTTTGCTCTCTCTCTCTCTCTCTCTCTCTCTCTCTCTCTCGTGTACGGATCTTTCGGTCTGCTGCTCTCAACAGCTAGGACCAACGTCCGTAGGGTGAAACGTGAGACGGAAACGGGTGCAAGTGCACGATTTAGGGATGCCGTTCCCTCTGTCTCGCTCCTTCTCGCTCTCAAGATGTATAAGATCGTAGGTCGAACGCTTACGTGGACTTGGGCCGCTCGAGGATCTATGGGATGCACACTGGCGGTCGAAGAAATCCTAACGGGGGAATTTGTTTAATTTCAAGGACAAGCCTCACGGCCATGATACTCCGCAGTTTCTTTGGACTCGGCGTGCCCTCAAACATTTCAAATAATCGACGCGAAAAGAGCCGCAGCTTAAGGGGTATAAATTAAGATTATTATGAAAAGTTTTTTTAACCACAGACTTTGTATAAAGAAAAAAAAACCTTTTGCTTGCTCGCGCCGCGCTCAAAGTTACAATACTTAAGTTTTTAGTTACGATTGTTTTGACACTGTGATTTACATGCTGTGAGTAGAGCCAGTGAAGTACCAGCAGCCGTAAGTTACGGCGGCTCGGTTTTATTGTCTCGTGTGTTTGATTCAATTTGATTAAGAAAAGCAAAATACATTTATTAAAAATGAAAAATTATGCTGTAAAATATAAATATCCATGTATTCTATAATCGTCGATCATTATTAACGACGCAGTAAATAATATTAGCAGTTTTTTCAATTACACGCATCGATTTTATGTATCATTGAGCGAGTGATTAAATAACGGGCTTGATTTATTTTTATTTTGAAGGAATGACAATGTTAGAAGTACTAAAGCCGTTTACTCGTGTACAAATTTCGTTTCAAAGGGACTCGAAATAACTTTTCCTCGTTCTTCAGTATTAAGCTTCTTCATATTATTATTGTTATTATTTTTTTTTTAATAATTTCTTCTTATTCTACTTCTTGATCTTCATTATCATCATCATCATCATCATCATCATCTTTTTTTTCTTCTTCTTCTATTTCTTCTTTTTCTTCTTCTTCTTCTTATTATTATTATTATTATTATTACTATTTGTTCGAGATACTCTTATGCATGAGAAATTGCCATTATTTTATTCATAAAGATAAAATGTGTGGAGTAAAAATGTAGTGCAAGTAATTCGAAAAAATTTGCGAATAAGTATGTTATGTGCAATATATAGCGTACGATAGGGAATATCAAAATATTAAACATTTATTATTTGCTCGGTGAATGTAATTTCATTTGCAGTTCGAGTTTACTCGAACATAATCGATAAAATAACCCTCGTAAAGAAAAGGGGTGAAACAAGCGAGTCGTGAATATTACGAAAAGCGTATATTTACATTAGCACATTGGAAAACGCCGAGTGTGAAGAATCTTAATAACTTTCGATATTATGATATAAGGATAGAATTTTTAGCATTGGAGGGAGTGAGATATTCACGCTCGAATTTGTCGGCGAGAGGAGTGTCCGAGCGTAAGAATACAAGCTTGCCAGAATATTTGTAAAACGGGCGTAGTGGCGCGAGAGGAGGTAGGCCGGTGGGAGAGAATCTAGCGGAGCGATTGAAGCGAACGAAGAAGATGCCGCATTAGTATAGAGGTCCGGTAAGAGCAAAAGGTACAGGCTAAAAAAATAAGTGTATCGAGCCTGGCTAAGCCGCATTACGTTAAAAAACGTCCCGATCATAATATAATCGCTGGCCAATCGGGCAGTACATCGGCGAGTACATTCTTGAAGTGAGGCGAGGACCGGCGTATAAAGTATGCGCGCGAGGTAAGAGAAAAAGAGCGAGCGGGCCAAGGATGAAAGAACGGAGGAAGAACCGGAACCAGTTAGCGAGGCTCTCGGTCGTCTCTCCTTCTCGCATTTTTCGGGCGGTCGCGCGCACCTCCTTTAATACTCGGAGACGTGCGCCGGTAGTTGCACCCCAAAAATCCACGAATATCGCCCGGTCGCTCGCGCTTCTGCATCTCTCCGCTTTTGTCTTTACGTTTTGTTTCCGCTGCAACGAAAACGAGCGAGCGAGCGAGCGAGAGAGAGAGAGAGAGAGAGAGAGAGAGAGATAGAGAGAGTTCTCGTTCTTTTTTCGGGGAGGTACAATGAGTTATATTCCGTTTTAATGCCTCGAGCGTCTCTCGTGGGGAAGGGAGAGCCCCTTTTTTGGGTGTCGGGGGCCGTGTTATAAGCTTTAGCCTGAGCTCGGTGATGCGCGACTGTTGAAAAATCGTCTACTTATAACGTGTGCTGCGTTGATTTACATTGAGAAGAGGCCTGGCGGTGAGT